CTTCATATTCAAAGATCGATTCGATTTCGAAAGGAAGAGACGCGCGGAGCGGGAAGTACACAGTTCTCAGCCGCTGCGCGCACCGCACTTTATTAATGATTTTGGCCACTTCGGCTTGTGTAAATCGTCAGATTATATTATTCCCGTGATCCTTGATTAATTTCCTTCAAAATAAAAAAAAATTTAACCGCGCTCGAGAAAATCCATGTCACGTTTTTTTTTTTGCAACTTTGTGACTCCCATTTTCTTACGTCACGCTGAAATCGTCAAATTATTGAAATGTACACTTTTCTACATGTAATTAACACACTATACCTTAATCTGACGCGCTCGAGTTTTTCGAACGATCGATTTTTTTTTACTAATCTGACGGGCTCCCCTGGACCCCCGGCTCTATATAGAGGTTTAATATTTGGTGGGGGTACTTATTAGGGTGCAAGCTTTCCCCCTTTATGTTATTCTGACGCGCTCGAGTAAATCCCAAAATCCCCACTTGGCCTCCCCTACTATTATAAACATTGAAAAAATAGTATAGATTAGGACACTGTTTTATATCCTCTATATTAAGGCACTTTAGGATAATCTAAATTAGTACAAATTATTCCAAGAAAATGACAACAATGTTAATATTGCGTATTGTTGGGACCTATTGTTGTTGATTATTTGCTGAAATAATTTGTATTGTATGGGAATTATGTTGAGAATAAACTATGTACATAATATCTGATTTATATACGTTTAATAGATATAAAAGTATAACAATATAACATTCTCATGTCATACTTAAATATCTCGTAAGATTATTTGCGTAATATTTCACAACGTAAATGCATGACATGTCTCATATTTACATTTTTTATATTTATTAAAATCAGCTCAACAAATTGATAGAATTGACAGACATTTTGTATATTCACTGAATTGAATAATATAGCAGTGCTTACTCAATATTTTATTAATTTTTTTATTTACTTTTACACTACATTAGTTTATTTTATAACATATATCTTATATGATGCAATAGAAATAAGTATAGCACGAAATAAATATATATTATGCATAATGTATATTAAACGAAATTGAATAAAATCTGTGATATTATTAAATAGAAATATTGGTGGAAACAAATTAACGAGAACGGAAGATTGAGTAAGTTAATATCTTTTTTAAACTAAATTAAGTTAAAGTTAGTGGCTTATAATAAAAATAATAAAATTAAGTTGAGTAAAAGTAAAAGTTGAGGGAATAAAGAATTAACTTAATAAAAGTTAAGTTAAGATTGAATTAACTTAAGTTTAAAGAAAGTTAATTTTGAAAAAAATTATTTTTGAGATCAGAATGTTCTAATTTTTCTTAAAATGAGACTTTAAATAACAAATATAGATTATTAGGTTGAATATAAAATTTAATTTTATATTCACATGTAAGTTACTTATACATATACATATAATAAGAGTCACATCATAAGGCGTTTTTGTCAAAATCTTGCGAGAAAGAAGAGTATATATTTGCATTATTTCTTTTTCTTTGACCTTTATCTAACTTTCTTTAACTTCTGAAACGACTGCTCATGCATATGCTTATGACTACATAGATTAGATATTTGTTACAAAAAATATACGTAAAAATTTAGAAAATAGTTGGATGTGTAGTACTATTCTATAACAATTCTTCATTTAAGGTTCATTTCATATGTTGCTAAAATATAACGTTTACGATACTTAAAATTAGTATGATTTAAATATAAGCAGGAATTGACAAAACTTAGTGAGTCAATAAAAATTAGTTACCGTATAGTGTGACTCTTATTATAGATCTCTCAAGTCATTGAACTTTTTCTAAATTAATTTTCTAATGTTTGAAGAATAGAAAAAAAATATTAGCATTAAAAGAGATAGAAAGTTTTTTATTTAAAAAAAATCAATACATTAAAGTTTAAAAGCAACTAAATTAAGTTAAAAATTAATGCATTTAAAATTAACTAAGTTAAGTAAAAAGTTATTAATTTTATCTTCTTTTCTGAACTTTTAACGTTTTAACTAGATACTATCTATTCCTGGAATAAGAAATTTGCTGATGTCAATCACTGGTCTGATAGCAATGACTGGACGAACACTCGCATTGTAAAAACCGCAGTTTACCCCTTAAATTGCCTTGTTTTAACTGATGACGGAGAGGTAAAATTATGACTAAATTATCGTAAATATTATATTTATGATAATTATTATTATTATTACAACAATAATTAATTATTGATTGATGATACCTCACGGATTTTATTTGAATATATTTTGGTTATTTAATTTAGCTATATTATGTAGCCAAATTTTATTCTGTGTTGACGGACGTACTTTACAACATTAACGAGCAAATAGATATTAAAGAAAAAAATCACTTCTTGCGGTGCAAATTATTGCTTGCGGTGCAAATTATTGTGTGATTATTACTAATAATAGCGAAGTGTATGAATGGAGCTATTGTAATACCAACGATGATTATCAAGCGAAAAAATTCTTTGTGACAAAGCCGCGTAAAATGATTCAATTTTCAACTCAAACAGTTGGTAAGTTTTTTTTTTTCAAAGCTCATTTGTAAAGAGGTGAAGATGGATATAGGTGGTGAGGGAATTTTTGAATGTAACACTGTTGAATAACCAAATTTATCCAATTTTGATATTTTAGTTAAAGTTGTCTGCGGATATTGGGATACCTTTGTACTCACCGACAAAGGGAAGGTCTATACCTGGAAACGCCAGATTGATCCTTGTCATGACATCGGAGAATTGATATCAACAGATGATCATTACGAAATTACCGAAGACGAAGAAGATATTAGCTTTCCTTTTGTGGGCAATGAAGAAATTTGCCTGCCTGTTACGGTGAATGATTTAATTGATTGTAAATTTCATGAAGGAAAGAGAAAAATGTATAATAAACTAGAGAATTTTACGATTAACAGATAAAAGTACCCAAAATGATTAAAGCATCAGATATCGCTACGATAGATGGTGCGAGTGCTATCAAATGTAGCGAAGATCAACTTGTCTATATACGGGGTGAGCTGTTTAGGAAGAAAATTAAGGAATTAGCCATCTGCGAATACACAAATATATTTGACATATGCAATTTGACAGTGGCACAATCACCGATATCCATTACTTATGAAGATACAGATGAAGAATCTATGATATTAAGCGATTTAGACGCGGCGTTTAACGATAGTGTAAGTTTCATTCTCTATGCTAACGCGTTAATCTATTTTAATAGATTTCCAATTAATTGGAGGCCTGCCAGGTGTCGCAAGCAAGCCGTTTGTTAAACATTTTCATACGTTAAAAGTACTTGCTCCCATCCTCCTCTTTATTCTCTTTATTCTATAGATTTTCAGCATGTCTTTTATATGCTAATAATTTTTTTCTTCTTATATTATACTTGTTATATATATTTATTTTGAACAATTCTTATTTCTCATGTTTAAAGTCAACGAGCGATCTTACAATAGAAGTTGAAAAGAAATCTATCTATGTTCACAAGAGTATTCTGAAAATCCGTTCATCATATTTCGCAAACATATTCCATTTTAGTGGACTTGAAAATAAACAAAGGTAATTATTTATGAAATAAATAGTGCATTTTTATTAAAAATTTACGTTTGATTCATTTGTTGCACCTTAACATATGTTTTGGAACAGGGTTATCAAGTATGATGATTATTCGTATATTGTGTATACAGCCTTTTTAAAATATTTGTACACCGGTGTAATCGATTTATCTTGTTTCGAAAACGAATTAAGTGAGTTTTAATTAAATACATTAGTACTATCTTTAATTCGTAATTAAAACGAATGTTTCGTTGTAGAGCTCCTGGTATTATCTGACAAGTGCTGCATGAAAAGTCTTGAGAGAGATTGCATTCGGAGGATAAAAAAAAAGATGACGGTATCAAACGTTTCCTCTATTATTGAAACTGCGGTGAAATGCAATAATGAGGTAATTGGTTATATAATTTTTGTTTTTTTTTTCTATTGTTTCTTTTCCAAAGTACTATTATTTATGATGAGATCAATATATTGTCCCATTGGAGTTCTTTTTTTTTACGTTTTTCTTTATTCTTGTTTTTATCGCAGTAGACTACTTTTGTGTTATACATTTCTAAAATGTTATAGTTGTATATTATATATAAAGTAACAGAACTATGAATCGAACTCATCGTTTCTGTTGTGTTATTAATCTATCCAGTTTCAATACTATAGTTTTAAAATGCTAGAATTTATATGGAAAGAATGGGTTTGCTAAAGTATATAAACATTATCTAGATACAGATCTGAAAATGATATTATTGAATCAACATAATTATATAGTATGCTCAAACTGATAATTCGAATGTCAAAACTTCTTGCAGCATTGCTCATGCTTGAAATTGATAGTTAATTTTAATGATACAACCAGGGTTGGGTAGTACCAAGTTAAAAAGCTAAAAGTTAAGTTAAAAAGTTGAAAAGTTAAATAATTTTAACTTAACTTAGTTACATTTTAGACT